CGCCGGCCGCAGCGCGCCAGCCGTGGTGGCCATTGGAGGGTGAACCAATGGCAAAAGGAAGACCTTTGTCTGTCTACTCTGCCGCCCCCCAAAAAAAAAAATCCTCTCATCTAACACAATGTGGCTGGTGTTGGTGTTGTCTTTACTATTTGATGGTTATAAAGATCTTCACAAGGGTTTCCATAGGGCTTCCAGTCTGGATCCCTGTTTTCCTCTCCACTTTCTAGGGTTGGAGAAGTGCAGGAGGAAGAAATGCAAGAAACATCGTCCTGAGTTTATCAGAGCACTGTAACTCAAACAGGTAGGGGGAGAAGGGGCATTTACGCTTCATTCTCTACCCTCGAGATACCTCTAAATTCCTCTGTTTTCTTTTTTAGATAGCTTCTTTCCAAGACTGCCTGACTGCCATGCAACACATGCACACGGTTCTTGCTACCCCATTTCTGGGTCCACCCAGCAGTCCGAATGGCTCTTAGAGACCTTAGAAAGTTTGCACACAGCAGGCCTCAGAGCAAACACACAGCAAGCCTGAGTGAGGACTGCACTTGCAGGCCTGGACATCCTCCTCCTCCTCCAAGCCTGTGACGAACTGGCACCTTACCTCGTCTACACTACACCCGAGCCAGCCTGTGGATGGTGGAGATGAAGACACTCAGAGTTAGGGAGGTTCAGTAACTTGCCCAAGTTCACCCTGTTAGCAGGTGGTGGGACTGCTGGGGAATCCAGACCCAAATCCAACACTGTGCACTAGTTCTGCTGAAGCACTTAACACACAGGTTAGGCGGCAGGCGAGTCACTTCATCTCACCTAATTCTTCAGCACCCAGATATCTCCTCCCAAATCCTTCATTTACCTCTGACACCAGGAGTCAGCATGTGACATCATGGACCTGCCTCAGGGTGCTGGAAAGTTAAAGCCAAAGTCCTCAAAGGCAGGCATTTAACCACAGCAACATAGTCAGGCTTCTGGGTTTTATTCTCTAAGTTTATTTTTAGTTATTTATTTTTACAATGCAGCCTCTGACAGTGACGATTTGAGGCTCAGCAAGTAACAGAGGAAACTCCTGCCCCATAACCCAGGCGTCTGGTCACGTTTGCAGGTGGGCCTCGGGGACATGTTTTTCAGAGCAAGCGACATCTCTGACATAGGCTGCCACCTTACAGTGTGAACAGAAGAGATAGCACTGAACGAGCCAAGAGGAGCACAGCCAGGTTCCCCCAGCCAGCTGCCCGGTCACCTCCCTCCATGGCGGATCCCCCTGGGAGGAAAAATGCCACTGCTACATCACCAGCACAAGTTTTAAAAGTGGCTTGTTTTCCTCCCGAAATTCACAATCCAGAAAGTTTGAAGGTTGTTAAAATGCAGGTAACAATACCAAAAGTATTTCTGTGAACACAATGGAAATGAGAAGACAGCCCACCCAGTACATTCGTTTTGGCTTTGTTCTCACTGAAATACTCAGAAGTAACGTCTCCATGGACTGATGTGCTTTCCAGGAAGGGCACCATATTTTTAGCACCATTTATGTGAACACAGATCAAGGCATTTTTCAATACATAAATGAAAACTACTAAAATTAAGTATAAAAAATTATCTTGATGTTTAGAATTAAGCTCAAGCACCCCGGTTAGTGAGAAAGCATCTGCCAAGACTATGGATACCTCAAGCTCCATATTCCCTTCCTTGTAATTGACGCGTGTCTTGGCAATTCTATTCCTTATCCAAACTTACACCCAAGAAAGGAGATGAACTGAAATAAAACTTCAGTTCAGTGCCCTCCTCCACTAATGCTACTGAACATTCTTCGGGACATTCAAAATGCTTCAGTCTACAGGGAGCATAAGGTATGCAACAGTCTTAATCATACACTGATGTATGTTTCCTGATTTAATGGCTACCCTATATATTTTAATTACATAAACCAACCCATTCCACCAGTCCCCAGTAATGATTTTCAATTTACCATCAAAGAAAACACAATTACATGAAACAGCTCACCTCCACTCTCACGGAACATGTTAAGCGAGGACATGTTGTGATTGCAAACTACATACATACACTCCTCTGGGCCATGGTCAAACGCGCCTCACCCTTTCTGCTACTGACTGCCAGGAAGAGCTAGAGGTGTCAGGCCACTGAACCAGTTCAGTTTTGTGCTGTTCATAGCTCTTGAGTTTTTCACTGAAGTTCATGAATGTGAATCATTAGTTGCCTGTGTCTACTCACACATCCAGAAGACCAAGGCACAGCTCAGCACTAGCTGTCCACTCCCTTAGAAGAGATCACAAATGAGGTTTCCCAGAACAGGTAATCATTAAACATTTCTCTTCTGTTAAGCAGAAGAAACTTATTAAATCTTAGAAATAGGAATTTGCATAATACATGTACATAAGTCTTTCCACCATTTAGATTTTTATTCTTTTATAACTGAAGTACAGGAGGTCCATTGGGCATCTGCTATTTTGTTTATAAATGGTACTTTATAAATTTCAGTCTAAAGTCAGTTTTTTCTCTTTCAGTCTACTACTTTCTTACAGTTCCTTAGACCTTTCTTACTACACTTGATCTTAGCCAAAATGGCCAGGAAGTGATCCTTTGACCTCATTTTTAAAAATTATCTGATATTATGCCTTGCATTCGCTAAACTATCAGAGGATTCTACTTGTTTCACTTTCTGGATTTGCTTCACATACTGAAGACTTTAAATACATCGTTTTGGTAGTCACATATTTTAAATAAAGGCATTTATCTTTATGCATACCTACAAGTAAGATTGTCTGATGGTTTGTTTATGCTTCCAAAAAAAATTCTGGCTTTCAACGGGGAGTACCTACAAAGTATTGTTTAAGAAAAAGAGGTAAGAAAATTATTAACTGTATTTTGTCATGCACAGACACAGCCAGGAGATCTATGGGGATTCTACACATGTGTATGTTCATGATAGGAGTGTTGTTATCACTGGACAATAGCACTTCCACTGTTACCTGGAAGACCTTTAAAAAAAAATACTCTTCAGATAAAACAGCCCCTTGTGGTAAGGGGTGGACAGAGAAACAGCCTCTTATAGAAAAAGACCAAGTACACCAAAACCTATGAATGTGTCTTCTAACAGAGGTGTTATCAGTCCATGTGGCCAGAGACTTTACCTGGAACGTTCTAAAATTAGAGAGAGAAAAAGAATCAAAGAATACAATGGCCATGTCTATCTTCCTTATCAAAGAAAAATCTTATCAGACACTAAATTAGTACACACTTTAAAAGGCTTGTGGAAAAAATGGAAATAAACGTTTTTACTGCAAAAAAGTTTTTTGCATTATATGCGTTCTGCTTCAACTTTTTGAAAACCCCTCATATAACAGCATAATAAAAGTGTTAATTAATGGCTACATCTTTTAAAAAGCAGGACTAATCCAGTTTTGTGCATTTAAGACATTTTCATAGTGCTATATTTTAAGAAGAGGAAGTGCAAACATTCCAGATCTGATAAGCTGGAGACCACATGCTGGCTCCTAATTCTAATGCCACCATGACTGCTCCATGTATATAATCAAACTCAGTGGATGTCAGAGATGCAGAAGTGACTCAGGAGGTGAGGAAGAGAACCTGAAAATGCAAAGTTAATTCTATGTAATGCGATACGGGACGACTCTTTCAGGCTTAAATGTATTTTAAATGAGCTCAAGGTATAAAGTCATGTCCATTTAAAGTAGAGAATTTTTCTGCCAATGCCAGAGAGTCTAAAACCTTTAAACCTGCAGTAAGCTCTGGGATAGAAAGTGAGCACGGTGCAGTTCATACTGCCATCTCTTCTTCCAGAACAGGAATGCAGAACATCTGGCCTGCGTGCCACATGAGGCCTACAGAATCATTTGCTCTGGCCCTGCCAAGGCAACTACAGGCAGGACTCAAAATTCAATTAATCTATAGCAGACTAATTTTTAAGTTGATAATTTTGTATGTGAACGATCTTATAAATACCCAAATGGCCCCTGGCTAGAAAAATGTTCCACCATTCCGTTCTAGAAAATCTTATCATTTGAGAGATTCCTCCAAGCACATTATTTGCCTGAATCCATTGGAAACTCAATTCAGCTGATGTCACACCACCTGCTCAAGACTCTGGGCAACTGAAATTGTATATTGCATAGGATACCTTTTTTTAAAGTGGGCCAATCACTTCTATTTCCTGAAGTGCTATTTGAAAGCTTTACTTTTCTGATGCTATGATCCTACCAAGCTTGGACCACCTCTGACAGCACAGGCTGGCAAGGTCCTGGCACAGGAAGCATCATAAAATAGATGTACACGTGTGAACTCTTATCAATATGGTGCTTAAAACCACAATTTCAGGCCGGCGCCGCGGCTCACTAGGCTAATCCTCCGCCTAGCGGCACCGGCACACCGGGTTCTAGTCCCGGTTGGGGCGCCGGATTCTGTCCCGGTTGCCCCTCTTCCAGGCCAGCTCTCTGCTGTGGCCAGGGAGTGCAGTGGAGGATGGCCCAGGTGCTTGGGCCCTGCACCCCATGGGAGACCAGGAAAAGCACCTGGCTCCTGGCTCCTGCCATCGGATCAGCGCGGTGCGCCGGCCGCAGCGCGCCGGCCGCGGCGGCCATTGGAGGGTGAACCAACGGCAAAGGAAGACCTTTCTCTCTCTCTCTCTCTCTCTCTCACTGTCCACTCTGCCTGTAAAAAAAAAAAAAAAAAAAACCACCACAATTTCTGCACATACTCTAACAGTATCATACTCAGAAATAAGAAAAAAATTAAAAAAAAAAACACTTCAGATTCACTTAGAACACTGTCAAAATGCAGAGAGTCACGAATGTTTATAAAATGCAGCAGCATATATGAAGCAACAGATTCTAGTTGCCTGAAGAACACAGATCCCTAGGGCCTATAATCCAAACATTTCAAGTGGTACTTTAAAGTGCTCAAAAACAAGTGCTAAGCATTTCCTGTTGTGCAGTTACAAACATTAAAATGACACATGAAAGCCAATAAAAAGTCGTTATCACTTTAATTTGGCTTCTGGGCACCTCCTTGTGGGAGGCACGGCTGCATTTCACAGTGGAAAACACAAAGCCTCTCTCATGCACATTCAGAGTAGGATTTGATTCCAGCACTCTATCAATAAGCATCTGGCAAAATCGGGTCAATATCATCAATGAGGTAATGGGATAAATAAAAAGTAACAGTCTAAAGCAATTTTGTGCATCCTGAGTTTTCTCAACTAAGACTTAATTTTCAAATATAAGCAAAACTTGAATTTTCAAAGGTTTGTCCATACTGAAACAGATAAGATAGCTTATACATTAACTTAGACCAAATAAAGATTTTTAATTTTAAAATAACTTTAGTATTTCAGAAAAAAACTACTTCACAAACGTTAAACCCATTCAGAACGTGTAGACCAATCCCACTGGTTCCTGTGAACAATCTCCACACTCCAGGCCTCTAATGGGCAATGTGGACCTAAGACAGACCCTGCTCAGCAGGGCTGCCCCCATTCCACCCCTAGGTTCCATCCAAACCTGTGTCAAGCAGGCGAAGTCGCGCAGGGCCCACTGTCTCCCAGTCTTCCCAAGTCAAGTCAAGGGCACGGGCAGCCCAGCCCCACCTTCACACTCATGTTTACCACCTGTTTCTGCAGAAACTTACTCATGAAAAAAACCTCAAGATGGGTTACTATCACTCATCCGCTGTGCCAGATGAGTTAGGTGGGACTGACAATAAATGTACTCTGAAACACACGTGAAGTAGGCATCCAGGTTGGCCCCACCTCTGCACTTACATAAGTGACTACAACCATTTGGCCTTGGTTTCTCCTCTAAAACCACAGGTGGCAATAAAATGTTCTGCCTATAAAACCAGAGTCTACAGAATAGGAGAACAGTGAACAGCCCCCAGTAGCCTGGCACTACTGCAAGCAGCGTGCATTCACACTGAAAGGCATTGCCACACAGACTCAAGTACACTGGGGACATCGGACACCTGTCACAGTGACATGGAGCGAGAAGTTCTTGGTTCCCTCACCACTCTCTTTAGCCTTCAAATAACTCACTTTTGGACCCAATTCTTAATTCTCACAATCTGTTTAAAATAGCCTTAATATGTAAATCCAAGCCACTCTTCTTCCTGAGACAGTGAGAGGATGTTATGACTGTGCCATTAACAGATCTACCCAGAACTGTACCACTTAAGCTGACTGCACAAAGATCACTATAGAGACCCATTACCACCAAAAAAAAAAAAAAAAAAAAAAAAATACTGTCTTAAAAAAATTAAAAAGCCAGTTCACCATTACAGTTTTGATTTGAGACATAAGAAACATATTATTCTCCAAGATGAGTCTCCTCTGATACAAAAGAATTTGCCTCCTTGGGAAGTTGTCATTTGCACCTTCCAGCAGATATATACTGAAGACCCTCCCTGCCCCCCAAAACGTACTATATCCCACACGAAGGGAAAGACTTGTTAGTCTTTATTAGCAAAAGTCTTCAGAACATTCCAGTCTAGTGCAGCGCTCCCATAGACTGTTCTCAGAGACCTGCAGGCCTGAGGCCAAGCAGAGGAGCTGCGTGGACACCTTTGCCATGTCGCCAGGTTGTACAGGTGCATCTCTCAAAGACTCGTCTCCTCACACACTCTGACAGGGACATTATAGTGTCGATCGTCCTCAGTGATGAGAGTCACCACAGGCCAGTCCTTGGGTGGGTCAGTGGGGTAGACTGTGATGAACTCTTCAGTGTTATACTTGGAGAGCCGGTACACCTGGATGGTGTGGTGCACGGCATAGGCAAGGAGGAACATTTCAACCTGGGAAGAAAAGGGCAAATGAGTATCCTGAGGGAAGCCATATGGGAACATGTAGCTTAGCATGGAGCTCCACCCATTGTCCCACATAACACATAACAATGGCAAAGCCCCAACCTTTTTTTCTCCCCTTTGGGAAAGCCCCAACCTTTGCTATACAAAAAACAAACAAACAAACAAACAAACAAACAAAAACAACATAAATAGGCAAGCAGATAATCAAGAATGGATGCTATGGCTCACAAGGGTATTTTAAAAACTTATCCAAGGGTATTTAAAAAGCTTGTGGAGAAAAGAAATTAAACAGTCAGTCTATTTTGGTGCAAATGCTGAAATCCATGTACATGGTGTCTTTTAAAAGTTCATGGAAGAGGCCAGCACTGTGGCACAGGAGGTTAATCCTCTGCCTGCGGCACCAGCATCCCATATGGGCACCAGTTGTAGTCCCAGCTGCTCCTCTTCTGATCTAGCTCTCTGCTAATGGCCAGGAACAGAACTGGAAGATGGCCCAAGTGCTTGGGTCCCTGCACCCACAGGGGAAGACTGGAGGAGGTTCCTGGCCGACTTAGAATCAGCTCAGCTCCAGCAGTTGCAGCCATCCGGGGAGTGAACCAATAGATGGAAGACCTTTCTCTCTTTCTCTCTCTCTTTTTTTCTCTCTCTCTCTCCTCTCTCCCTCTTTCTCTGCCTTTTCTTCTTCTTCTTCTCTCTCTCTGTAACTCTACCTCTTAAATAAATAAAATATTTTTTAAAAAAAAGTTCATGGAAAGCATTTCTTAGGAAAAAACTTGGCATAGATATGAAAAAAATTTTTGCATGAAACACATCTTTTAATTCTATTTTTCCATGAATTTTTTGAAGTACCCTTCCCTGTATAAATATAAAGAACTCCTACAACTCAATAACAAAAAATAACCAGTTTAAAAACTGGCCAAGGGGGCCAGCACTGTGGTGTAAGGGGTAAAGCTGCCGTCTGCAATGTCAGCATCCCATCCAGCTGTTATGGCCTGGGAAAGCAGTAGAAGAGGGCTCAGATCCTTGGGCCCCTGCACCCAGAGGGGAGGCCTGGAAGAAGCTCCTGGCCCCGGCCAGCTGTTGTGGCCATCTAGGGGGTAAACCCCCTGATGAAAGACCTCTCTCTCTACCTCTCTGTAATTCTGCCTTTCAAATAAATAAATTAAAAAAAAAACTGGCCAAATGATTAGAAGAGACATTTCTTCAGAGAAGATATGCAAAAGTGCCAATAAGCATGTGAAAAGATGCTCAACACAGGTTCATTAGAGAAATGCAAATCAAAACCACAAGGGAGGGGCCCAACATTGTGGGGAAGCAGGTTAACTTGTCAACTGCAATGCTGGCATCCCATAATCTCAAATGAGTGCTGACCCTGCTCATATGCCTAGGAAAGCAGAAAATGTCCCAAGTGCTTTGGGCTTCTGTCACCCACCTGGGAGACATGGATGAAGCTCCTGGTTTTGGCCTGGCCCAGCCCTACTTGGTGCAGCCATTTGGGGAGTGAAACAATAGATGGAAGATCTGTGTCTCTCCCTCTTTCTCTCTGCCTTTCAAATCAACAAATCTTTAAAAAAAAAAAAAAAAAGAAAAACCACAAAATGCATTTTCAAATGGTTAGGGTTTCTTTTTTTGCTAATGTGAACTTCACCTCAAATAAAACTGAAGCCAGTAAGCAGTGCTGGCAAAGATGTGGAGAAATGGACTTGGATGCACTGCTGGTGAGAATGCAAGGTAGTGTAACTGCTGTGAAACACTTTGACAGATCCTCAAAATGTTTAAAAAAAAAAAAAATCACATGACCCAGCAGTTCCACTCCTGGGTATAGCCCAGACAACTGAAAATTATGTCCACACTAAACAATGGTACACAAATGTGCATAGCAGAGTTATTCATAATTAAAATAGGGAAACAACCTAAATACCCATCAAACTGATGAACAGATGAATCAAGTATGATATAGTCATACAACAGAATTTTATCAATAAAAAAGAATGAAGTACTGGCATGACAAAATCTGGGTCAATCGTAAAAAACATTACATTAAATGCAAGAAGCAAGTGACAAAAGTCCACATGATAATGATTCCATTTCTATGAAATGTCCAGAATAGGCAAATCTTGAGAAAGAAAACAGATAAGTGACTGCCAGAGCTGGGGAAAGGTGTGATTGTAAGGGGATCTCTTTTGAGGGCTTACAATGGTCTAAAATTAGACGGATGGGACAGTTTAAAAGGGTAAGTTTCATGGTACGCAAGTTTTATTTCAAAAAAGCTGCTATTTTATTTTCAGAGTTAGAGAGAGGGATAGACACAGAGAAAGATCTTCCATCTGCTGGCTCACTCCCCAAGTGGCTGCAACAGCCAAGGCTAAGCCATCATGTGGGTCCCCAATGTGGGTGGCAGGGGTCCAAGTACTTGGGCCATCTTCTACTGCTGTCCCCAGGCCATTAGCAGGGAGCTGGATCAAAGTGGAGCAGCCACTTGACATGCCGGTATCACAGGTGGCAGAATTACCCACTACACCACAATGCCAGCCCCCAGGCAGCTATTTTAAGACATGGATTTCTCATTGCAGCAGGCCTTGAGAAGGTCTCCAAAAGGAGTAACTTCAGTCTAATATGTGAACCATGCTCCACCAAGCTTTTCAACACAAGGTATTCACTGTGGTTCAGGAGACGTATGTAATCCACGTTAGAATTACAGACAACTTTCTAAAATAAACACCATCCATCCTGCCTGATGCAGCAGTGATCATCAGCCTTTGCTCTTTGCTACACTCTAGGACTAACAAAGGAACAGGCATGTCCTTGCAAGATGACATCCAGAAGAACCCAACCCAATGAGTGCTCTATTCCATGCCTTTTTAGGAATGGCAAGGGCAAGAGTCAGTCATGTAAGTAAGAAGGTAGTACTTTGGACAACCTCTCTGCCACTTCAGTCGTGGGCTCCTGCACTAAAAACTTTTTAGGGAAAAACACACCAAAGAGAATATACCGAATGGTGACTGATCTGTTGGTTTAAGGGACAGTACTGCACTGGGTCTCTGCATCAAACTCCAAACTGTCGATGGTTCAAGAGCAGATAGGCTCTACTGTCTACGGTGACTCCACTTCTACCTTTAATCTGGGTGCAACTGCCATGATTAAATAAGCCCCTTGAAATGGCTCTTCCAAGTGCTTTACCTATTTGCAGCCTCCCAAAGCCAATGGTACTGATGCCATTCAACAGCTTACAAAAGCAAGCCCAGGTTGAGATGACAGTGGTGGTTATAAAATTTGTGTAAAATTCTTTGATGTTCCCTACTTGAAAAGATGGAGCCCAAATCTCTTCCCCTTGAAAATGGAATGGATAACCTGTCACAAAATGTGATGTGCAGCGTGACTGCCACTTACATCATGAAAAGACTAGACCATAAAAAGCACTGTGGCTTCCTCCTTGCTCTCTGCTCAAATTCCTCTGAGAGAAGAAGCCAGCACCTCTGTGGAGAGGCCCATGAGGTGAGACACAGGAGCCTCCTGCCAAAAGCCATGTTAAAAGTAGATCTTCTAGTCCCGGTCACAGCTTCTGATGACTGCAACGTCATGAAACCCTGAGCCAGAGCCACTCAACTAAGTGGCTCCAGAATTCCTGGCCTATAAAAATAGCAAAATCATGATTGATGGTTAAAGCACTTTTCCCCCAACGGCATAACTCACCTGTTCAAGGCCACCAGTGTGTCCCACCTGGTTTAGGTGGTTCCTCAGCAGCTGTCCAGGGTCATTTGATGTGTCCCGGGCAAACAAGAGCACAGAGAAAAATGGTACCTCCTTTCCCTTCTCTTTGTCATCATATAGTTCAATGGCTCTGTTTAGCATTAGAAATTTTACAGCTTCATAGAAGCTGTATTCCTCCTCCTCATTTGTGAACAGTTCATCACATGCTCTCTGCCTTGCTTCAGAAGTTCTCATTTCAGCCAAGCCTGCCCACTACAATAAGAAAGTTACACAATAGTTAGAATGGTTACTCTGAAAATCTCTGGTATCTCCACACTATGAGCACAAAATTATTTTCAAAAATAGGCTACCACATGCTGGTGTTATAGCATAGCAGGTTAAACTGCTGCTTTCCAGTCCTCACAGCAGACTCCTAGAATGACATTCGCTGTAAATAACACTCTGACCTCAGAATCAACCCTTAAGGCTTCCTGGTCTGGCTGAAAGGCCTGTGAGAGCATCTCAGGCATGCAAAGCCAAGACTCTGTGGCAAAAATTATCATACACAGAGAATCTCTGTGAGACCTCAGTGGAAAGAAAGGGCCATCAAAGAAGGAGGTACTTTTCTCTGAAGGGAGGAGAGAACTTCCACATTGTTTATGGCCATGTCCAAATACTGACGGAATCTATGGTCACAAAAAGCTTCCATAGCCTTGGCAGCCCATGGCAAGAGCCTCGGGTGATCACTGACATCATAAATAAGAGTGTTAATTGTTAAAGGAACAACAGAAGTCACTGTGCACTTACTCCCCAAGTAGGACCTCCGTCCTTAATGACTTGTACTATGAGAATCGACTGCAAATCTTGTTCTCAAACTATGCTCTATATGTTATGTGGGGGGGAGGGGGGTGCAAACTGTTGAAATCTGTGCTTAACATGGAGATGGTCCTCTGTATATAAAATCAAACTAAAAATGAACCATAATGAAGAAGGAGATGGGAGAGGGAGAGGGAGAGGGAGGTGGGATGGAAATCGGGGTAGGAGGGTCGGTATGGGGGAAAGAACCACTATATTCCTAAAGTTGTACCTATGAAAAAATGCATTCATTAAATAAAAACTTTACAAAATAAATAAATAAATAAACTGCTGCTTCCAATACCAGCATCCCCTATCAGAGTGCCAGTTCAAGTGCCAGATATTCCACTTCCAATCCAGCTTCCTGCTGACATGCCTGGGAAGACAGCAGAAGATGGCCCAAGTACTTGGGCTCATGTCACCAATGTGGGAGACCTAGATGGAGTTCCTAGCTCCTGGCTCCAGCCTGGCCTGACCTGGCTATTGCAGTCATGTAGCGAGTGTACCAGAGAATGGAAAATCTCTGTTGCTCTGCCTTTCAATTAAATAAATAAGTCTAAAAAGAAAGTAGGCAACCATGAGTCACTTACCAATGCTCATAGCATCCAAGTTTCCAGCTCAAACAATGGTACTCTTCAGATCACATAACTCCTTATTCAGCTTTTCCCCCCAACTAATTTGACATAGAATTGCAGAGCAATAAGCAGAAGCACTGAGGAATGGAAACGTCAACTCCCTAAGTTCCCTGGAGAAAGACTTAAGTCAACAAATAGAGATGCTCATCATTAAGCTAACAGGCAGATGTAAAGCCGGCAGGGGCATGAGGTGTGCACCTACACTGACTCCACCTTCCAAAAGGTTTACAGAAGCAGTTTCCATCCACAAACACAAAGCTACGCCTTCACAACAGAAGACAGGCAAGGCAGATGAGGGGTCTCCTGAATATCAAGTCTACACAATTCTCCCCCTCTAGCCTTTTAAAAATATACATAAGCATCAAATGATTAAATCTTCTCAGGAAACTTTTATGACTCCTGATTTAAGAATAAAGCAATTGTGTGTTGTGCGTGAGGCATCCAGCTAACATAGGCAAACCCCAATAAGTGGTCAGGAAACCCCTATAAAACATACGTGCTCTAAGTTAGAGTGAGTGAGAATCAGAGATGCCAACATAAACACCAATCCTTATGAATAACCAAACACAGTGCTCTTCTGAAAAACCATTACAGAATTTAAATTCAAGAGTAAATTTTAACGGTCATGAATTATACAGAACTCTCTCTCCAATATGTAAACTAAAAGCTGGAATATGCCGTATCTCATCTTCGAGTAGACAGCTGGCTGTCAAGAGCATGAATACAGAATCAGACAATTGGGATAGAGTCAAGACCTCACCACTGAGAACTGGCAGTTTTCTCAGAGCATCTAACCAACCACTCAGCCCTGGTTTCCACAACTGTACAGTTGTGGGGAATACTACAGCAACATCTTTGTAGTTGTGAGTTAAAGAACTTTTAGGAGAGCCTGGCACAAAATAAGTCTTATTAATCCTGGCTCAGAATATCACAAAAAATAATCTTGGGGCCCTCATTGTTGCATAGGTTAGGCTGCCGCCCAGTATACCAACATCCCATAAGTCCCAGTTTCTCCACTTCTGACCCAGCTCCCTCCTAATGTACCCGAGAAAACAACAGAAGATGGCCTGAATGCTCAGGCCCCTCCCTGCCAGCCATTGTGAGAGACCTGAATGGAGTTCTCAGCTCTTGTCTTCACCCTGACCCAGCCTCAGCTGCTGTGACCATTTGAGGAACAAACCAGTAGATGAAAGAGTCTAACTCTGCCTTTCAAATAAATAAATCTTTTAAAAAGTAATAACTTGGATGTGACACAGACGACCAGCAGGGAGAGCAGGGACACCCAGGGCTCCGAGTCCACACATCAGTGCTGGAAGGGGAGGTGAGCAGAAGTAACCCGAGACATTGGCGGGGAAACGGCGGACAGAATCTAGAGGGAAACGGGCTTGAAGCGGGAAAGTTCACCAGACTGACTACAGGAAAGAAGGAAAAAAAAAAAAAGGTGGGGGGTACTGGTACAGACGAGTTTCTCTCTCGGCCAACCTTGCAAAGGTGAGCAAGAGACAAAGAGCAGGACCAACTCTAGATATACATAACAAAAGGGGAGAGCTAAGGAACTGAGGCGCTACAATTCAGTAGCCTAGGAAACCCAGTGGGAGTCCGCAGGAGAAACTGAGCCCACACAGACTCTTTAGGTAGAAGCCAGAGATTGGAAGCTAAATACCATCAATTCTGCTCAGCTGTGCGGTATTACTTACCTCCTCCTGAATAAAAAAATAAAATAAATAAATAAATAAAAAGAGAGATTTACCACGTATAACCTGAGGGTGTCACCTCTGCACACCCGTAACCCAGAAGAACCAAGCAGAGCTCTCAGGCCACACCCATCTCAAGCCTCCAAGGCTCCTCCAACAGCAGACAGTCCACTTAACACAGACATAGCATTAAAAAAAAAAAAAAAAAAAAAAAAACCTCACAGTGAGGGAAGAAGAATTAACAATGCCAACCAACAAACACAAACATCGAGGAAACAAGATCAACGATGACACTATGATGCCTTGAAATAAACAAAACACCCCAAGCCAAGATTATGAAGATGATGAGATAGAAGAAATGCAAGATACAGATTTCAAAAAATTTATCATAAGAACATTTAGAAGTTTTCAAAAGCAAATCCTTGAACTACAGAAATCCTTATTGGACAGGATTGAAAATCTCTCTCATGAAAATGAAATTTTAAGGAAGAATCTAAATGAAACTCAGAAACTAGTAGAACAGGAAAGTGTGATAGTGAAGAGAAATCAAAATGAAATGAAGAGCTCAATAGATCAAATAACAAACACATAGAAAGTCTAAAAAACAGAGTCAGTGAAACAGAAGAGAGAATAACAGACTTAGAAGACAGAGAACAGGAAAGGATACAGTCAAACCAAAGAAAAGAAGAGGAAATTAGAAATCTAAAAAATATCATTGGGAATCTACAGGATACTATTAAAAAAACAACATTCGAGTTCTAAGAGTTCCTGAAGGCATGGAGAGAGAGAAAGGATTAGAAGGTCTCTTTTTAGTGAGATACTAGCAGAGAACTTTCCGGGTTTGGAGAAGGACAGAGACATCCTAGTACAGGAAGCTCATAGAACCCCCAGTAAACATGACCGGTTGAAACAGTAATAAAGGCCCTCCCAACAAAGAAAAGCCCAGGATCAGATGGATTCACTGCTGAATTCTACCAGACATTTAAAGAAGAACTAATTCCATTTCTTCTCAAACTATTCAGAACAATCGAAAAAGATGGAATCTTCCCAAATTCTTTCTATGAAGCCAGCATCACCTTAATCCCTAAGCCAGAGAAAGATGCAGCACTGAAAGAAAATTACAGACCAATATCCCTGATGAACATAAACGCAAAAATCCTCAATAAAATTCTCGCCAATAGAATACAACAACACATCAGAAAAATCATCCACCCAGACCAAGTGGGATTTATCCCTGGTATGCAGGGATGGTTCAACATTCGCAAATCAATCAATGTGATACACCACATTAACAGACTGCAGAAGAAAAACCATATGATTATCCTCAATAGACGCAGAGAAAGCATTAGATAAAATACAACACCCTTTCATGATGAAAACTTTTATTTAATGAATATAAATTTCCAAAGTACAGCTTATGGATTACAATGGCTTCCCCCCACCCCATAACTTCCCTCCCACCCGCAACCTTCCCCTTTCCCTCTCCCTCCCCCTTCCATTCACATCAAGATTCATTTTCAATTCTCTTTATATACAGAAGATCAGTTTAGCATATATTAAGTAAAGATTTCAACAGTTTGCACCCACATAGAAACACAAAGTGAAAAATACTGTTTGAGTACTAGTTATAGCATTAAATCACAATGTACAGCACATTAAGGACAGAGATCCTACATGAGGAGTAAGTGCACAGTGACTCCTATTGTTGACTTAACAAATTGACACTCTTGTTTATGGCATCAGTAATCACCCTAGGCTCTTGTCATGAGTTGCCAAGGCTATGGAAGCCTTTTTTTTTTTTTTAAGATTTATTTATTTATTTATTTGAAAGTCAGAGTTACACCGCGAGAGAGTGAGAGAGGTCTTCCATCCGCTGGTTCACTCCC